GCATTTTTTTTCCAGAGTTCATGAAGAATAATTAGAGAACTGAGATAATTGGTTTCACAACATAATCGTGCTTTGTTCGTGAATTTCAATTAGTTTAATTACGAACCAAACTCGAGTGTCAAAACAAGAGTGAGTGATATGAGACTCGGGATTTCACAAAGTCGTTTCAGTACTCTATTTACAAAAAGCATACATGCTTTATCTTACAGTTTCGACAGTTTTGGAAAGTATCCAAATGCCAGAAGATTGAAACTATGATACAAAAACTATAAAAACTCCTGTTTCTCTTTCTCTCCCTATTCCGGCTAGTCATCCACCCTCCCGTTTTTCTCACAAAGTTTGCCAATCCTCAATGGAGTTGAGGTCGACCAAGATTATGTCAAATATGTCACCTATAGATAGGGAAAAATATAACAAATTACAGTAATTCAAAAAATTAAAAAGATAATGACCTTCAAATGGGTCTTGAAACGATAAAATGAAATGACTAGATAAAAACTTTGGAAACATTAAAAAAAAATAGGATCTATGAGGTCAAGGACACTTCTACGACAGTCCTGAATAAAAGCGCATCTCCCGAAGTTACAAAACATGAGCTAAAGTAATGGGGCACAAGCACCCGTCCCTCCTGTTTACGTGTAATTTTGTTTTGGTGTTGTTTTGTTTTGTTTTGTTTTTTGTTTTGTTTTTTTTTTGTTTTTTAAGATTATTCAATACATTTTGCAACTATTGTTTAATAAAGTTCTATGAAGAAGAAGACAATTTAATATTTTTCGTTTGATTTTTGTGTGTAGATAACTTTTCATGTGGACATCATTGTCTTTCTCCATGAATCGATCAGTTCTTCTTGGTCGAAAAGAAATAGCTATCCCCTGAAAATTGACAATGAGACGTTTTCTTCTCACAAAAAAAAAATGAAAAATAAAAAGTTTAGCATATTTTTTTATGAGGGAGAACTCCACATGTTTGGAGTCTAATGGGCATTCGGGGATAAGAGATGCGTCTCAAATGTCTTAATAATGTTGAAAGAAAGGTAACAAAATTGTTGAGAGATAGTTTATGCTGCTTCCCCTTCCTCTTCCTCTTCCTCATCTACGCCTACGCATTTTGGACAAACAGGCTTGCCTTCCATAGCATAGAATGATTTTCCAGAAACAGCTTTCTTACAATCCTAGAATATCGGTATTTTTGTCAACACAGGGCAATTCATATGAAAGATATTTGTATTGTCAACGGTTTAAAACTTGTTTCAAAGCCTGCATAAATTCGCAATAGCGAAAAAATATCTAGAAAAATAGAAGGTAACGTTATCTAATGGAAAATAGTTTTGCTGTTATGAGGAGTAGCTCCCACAATTGTAGAAAATCATAAAATTAACAATTACAAAGTTCAAATTTTTTATACCCTGCAAACGAAGCAATCTGGGTGCCACTGGCTATTAAGGGCTGAGATGTAGTTCTCCATTATAGCACGATTGCAACCACCGCATTTTGGTGCAAACATATCGAAATAATCTTCCCGACAGTATGGTTTACCATCGCGTTCATGAAAACCTTCCTCACCAAATTGTTTTCCGCATTG